TCTATTCTATTCTATTCTATTCTATTCTATTCTATTCTATTCTATTCCTTTCCATTCCATTCCATCCCAACTCTACCTCAGATTCTGGGGCTCAAAAAGGACTGGGAGCATCAGAGAAAAGGGGAAGTAATTAAAGCAGAACAAGCCCATAGAATGAGGAAGGAAGAGGCTGCAAACAAAACAAAACAGGAACCAGAAGAATGTTAAAGAGCAGACCTAAATATGTCTTCTGAAAAGTTTCTTGCCTACCCTTTTCACTTGATTGCTTTTCTTTAGACTGGAACCAAGATGTGTGTTGGAATAGTTTCTTTACACAAGTATAAAGGGGGCAATGGGGCATCAAAGTGCATATACTGAATAAACCTTTCCCCACATATTACTCCCTTTTACCAACACAAATGAGCTGGTAATAATTGATAAAGCACTGATAAGCAATACCTCTTTACTACACGAGGGCAGCAGAATGCACTAAATAATGAAAAAAAAAAAAAAAAAAATAGGACCAGGAACATGAATTAGCACCCAGCTTTGATATGCCCACATGGAATAAGAGATGGGGTTCTCACTTTTATCAGACTTCTTTTCTTTGCTGTCTTTTTTCTTTGTTGATTTGATGCTGTCTGAAGACTTGGATTTCTTCTTCTTCTTTTTTAACGGTGTCTCTTCCGCACTCTGCATTTTAAGCTTCTTGCCCTTTGAAACCTTAGAGCCAGTGTCCCCATCTGCCAGTTTCCGTTTCTTGGATGGCTTCTCTTTTTTCCCATTTTTCGATGTCTTGGCCTTTGCCACAGGGTTAGCCTGGGCCCCTTCTGGGGTACCTTGTTCCGTGTCCTGGTCTTTGTTCCCAAGGAGCGCTTTGAACGATGGGGAGAGTGACTCTGGCAACTGTACAGCAGATGTCTCCTGGCCTTGGCCACTGCTCTGAGCCTTTGTTGCAGCTTTCTTTGCTGGGGGAGGCTTGGAGCTGCTGCTTTTCAGCCCCCGCTTCCCTGCCCCCTTTCCCTTAGCAGCTGCTGCTTCCTTTCCAGAAGAAGGCAACAAGGTGGCCTCTGTAGAAACAAAGTTTTACAATTTAGCAACTATCAAGAACCTGATCCCTATAAAGTACTGCTAATTTGTGGGCAAATCATTCCAACTCAGCTGGGGAAAGGCTTGGCCTAATTAACTTTTAAAACAAGACACTTTCTAATTTACAGAACTGTTTTACACTTACACCTAGCTAGATGTATTTCTATTCTAATCTGTCCAATTAAAAGAAAAATACATTTTATTAGGGCAATTTTCTCCTGCACAAAAGAGCATGATCTCAGAATTTTGCCTTAAAATTTAGTCTTAACAATATGAAAAAATTAGATTAAGAATTAAATATTCTCCAGTCTCAGATGCTCCATAGCCACTAGACAGTTTCGTCTAGTGGTTAAGGCACCAGGCCTCCCCATTCATGAAAGCCAGCTGGGTGACTTTGGGCCAACCACTCTCTCTCAGCCCAAATCACCTGACAGGATGGTTGTTGTTGTGGGGAAAATAGGAAGAGGAAAGTGTTGAATATTTGTGGCACATGAGTTATTTGTGAAAATAACAATGGTGGGATACAAATAAATAAAATTAATAAACCGATAATAATAATAAGCCAGGCTACCCAATTACAGAAAATGTATCTTCATTTAGAAAGAATCATCAAACCCGTTATATAACAAGATCACAAATTTTCAACTGTAACCGAACCATTCAATGTCTCTCTGCACAACACAAATCTCAGAGAATCCTTCAAAACATAATGAGATTTTGAGAAAAACAAATATAGCAGGATCCTTTCTTGATCCAGAAAATCTTCACTTGAAGATTGAAATAAGTGTATAAACTTGGATTTGGAAAAAGGGGAGATAGTTCAGTTGCCTCTGGAAAGTGAATTTGTTGGGATATACAGATAGTTCCTGAATTTCTAAAAAGTGGAATGGGACAACTTGCTACAGCCAACTCGCTGCAGGACAATTGACAGTTTAATGTAATTATTTAAAATAAAATTTAAAAATATTTAAATTTTTGCTATTCACATTTCATTCTGTCCCTTTTTTTGCATCTTTTCTTTAACGATTCCATCCCACTATTTCTTTAATATTAGTGCAACTCTTGTCCTGCAGAGAGTTTGCCGTGGCAAATTAGCCATGGCGAATTGTCATAGACTCCCTAAAAAGTCCTTTCCTTTTAAGTCTTCTGTACCAATAGTTCCTTCAAAGCCAACCTTTTTTCGGTGTGACGGTTTTCTCAGTGTCGCTATCGCTTGAAGAACTGTCAGTTGATGACGTGCTGTCAGGAGGCGCTGGCTTCCCAGGAGACTTTGCTTGAGCACCGACAGAACCCTGTTTGGAGAGCAGAGGATTTGCTACCACCGTGGATGCTTGGATCTTGTGAGGACCAGATAGCCCCGTTAAAAGAGACTAGGAGTGAAAAAAGGAGAAAGAGAGAAATAATGAACATGTGATTAATAGCAAGGGCAGTTAACAGAGTGATATATCCCAATCTCTTCAATTAGCAAAATTTATCAGTATCTGTTTAGTTCAATACTTTTCACAACTTCATAGCAGTGTTGACACATGAGAGAAATGGCATGAAAGAAAGACCTACCAGAGCTTTTATTATTGCCTTCCAAGTCTGATGTCCATTATTCTGACTGGACATTTTAGGAAGAACTCCATTCTCGATACTGTATGAAAGAGTCTGGATAGGGAAGGCTGTTTTAGATGTATTATTTAATAAACAAGTTTATATAGTTGCCCAACTCACACATAGGTGAGTCTGGGAGGCTTACATTTAAAAATATAAAAGATCTATCATATAATAAAGCCATTTAAAAACCCTACCCCATCCCCCATGGCATCCCCCATAGTAACAGCACAATTATGTTAGCCACTCAATTAGCTGCATTTCCGTTTGCGATTCCAGGGTCCACTGACGTAGCCACTTTTAGGCCCTTTTGGAAAAGAACCAGAGTGGAGGACATTTGTACCTTGGAGTGAATGTTGTACCCAAAAGAAGGTGCCACCTGTCAGACCTGCCCCAGTCTAATCTCTTAGGAAAGAAAGGCTCTCAACTCCATTTGGTTGAAGTGACAGGTTCTTTTACTAAAAGATGTTGGTTGCAGTAAAGTCAGGCTAGAACTAAATTTCCTGTGCTCAAAAGATATAGAAAGTTTGTAGAATTGGGGTGGTGGGCATACCAACAAATTCAATCACGCTATGTGAATCCAATAGAGCATCGATGGCGAACCTTTTTGCTGTGGTGTGCCAAAAGCGCACGTGCCGGCACCCACAATGCAATGCACTCTGCCCCCCTGCGCATGTGCCTGCAACACCCCCGCCCTGCCCCCTTACCTGCACTGCGCATGCCTCCCAGATGATTTTCAGCCTGTTTGAGGCCGTTTTCGCCCTCCTGGAGGCTTGAGGAAAGCCTTGGGAGGATGAAAACGGGCCCATTTTGGCACTTCTGGTACTTCCGGAAGGCCCATTTTTCAGCCTCCAGAGGCTGCAGAGGCTTCCTTCGAGCCTTTGGGAGGGCAAAATGGCCTCAAATTGGTCAAAAATCAGCTGGGAGGCGTGTGCACATGCACAATGCAGGTTAAATTTGTCTGGGGCTCGCATGCCATAGGTTCACCATCACGGCAATAGAGTATAGTGAATAAAATGGCTGTATAAAATTAGCAACATATGAGATTTTATGCTGTAAATATAAAGGTCCATACTGGATAGAATAATAGTATAAAATTAGCAATGCATGATGAGAATAATGTTATTTGTTTTATATTTTAGTGTGTATGGCAGAGACAATGCCAGGACACAGGACACAGTGTCCAATATTTTAAGACGTAATCAATAAAATTTTGTAAAAAAAAAAAAAAAAAAAGATATAGAAAGTTATCTCCCACTGCAGCTCTACCCCATGACCAGTCTGTCTTCAGCCAATAAGAATCTGCCTGGGTCACCGGGCCCCAACCTTTGAGGCTTGGCAGTCTGGCTGGGGGGGGGGGGGGGTGGGGACACCGGTCTGCCACTCGCGTGGCCTGGTTTTGAATAGGTCATGGCCCAGTAGTGAGCCACGGCCCAGGGGTTGGGGACCCCTGGCCTAGGTGCACTGAGAACGCTGAGATTTTTTTTGAGTAATTCACATTCTTTCTCAGGGTGCACAGTCTTCGGTGGTGGCACAAACTGGCTCCAAGCTCTCTTGCTCTGCGTCAAGCTGTCATTCTCCCCTCCCAATTTCCCATCACGCACAAAAGCAGATTGATTGCCTGTTTGTTCCCTAGCATAATCCTTTCCTAGCCTTTGATGGCAGGATGCTAGCAAGGTGCCAAGGCAGAGATGGCAGACCTGAGAAGGCCCTTTTTTGTTGTCTCATCAAATGACAAACCCTAATTGATAGAACCTGTATGTAATATGCCCTGCCTTCCTTCCTGTCCTGGTGGGCAGGGTGGTTGCAATAGAGAGGAGGCAGTCTAAAGGTAGTCAGTTTTCATTCCCATGGGATTCACATTCCCCTGTGTATCATGTCTAAGTGTGCCTCCCCCAATAAGCTACTTGGATACATGCGTTTAGGGGGCGACATTCTGGCTACAAATTGAAGGGAGAGGGCTGTCAAACTTAAGCTCTTGAAAAAAAAAAAAGACACACAACACAAGGCTCAAGCTGAGCACATACGGCCATGCAAGTCCAAGTTCCTTCAAAACTTTAGCTTTTTTCCTCTCATGAGCTTGTGTAATGTGTAGGCTAAGCCATGAAAAAATGTGTAGGCTGTCAGCACAGTTGTTGAAAAAAGGCAAACAGAGTGGGGAGCTGTTAAATGCTCCAATTTTCTAGAAAAGGAGGGGAAGTATTTATATGTTGTATGGATTTATGACCTGCAGGATAAATTTGCTTCTCTGTTCATTCCCTCTTAAATATGCATTCGGGAGGTTGTTGGCGATTACTACAGTCCCATGCATGCATGCAAATCTAATGTGTCACAGATCTACAGTTGGTACCACACATTGCTCATAAAGACAACTTTCATAGCTAAGGCACAGCTTAAATTGCAACTGAAAACTGCTGCTGTATGCATAGTACAGTTCCTCCTGCAGCTATTTAAAGCTCTGTATTTTCATTAAATCAATCCATCCTGGTTAGTACAAGTTCAGAAAGCATGCATCCAACATGCTAACTATGGAGGTTCAGATTTTATAATCCTTTGTTCAGAGGCATATTGTAGGTTCATTGTGCAGGCAAGGCACACTTGTCGACTCCCACGGAAAAGGTGATTATACCATAAAAGAAAGACGACCTATCACTTTTTTATTTACAGTAAGTTACTTTATCTTTCATCTTACCATTCTAAGACCTTTCTTGAACTCTATTCTATTGTCCTTAATTAGCTGTTTTAATTTCTATTTTTGGCAACGTTACTAGGTAGACTCTATAGTAACAGAATCTTTAAAGTCTGAAGGTGCTTCTTCCTCCATCTTCATGTGAACCAGGGAGAAGCTTGCCTAAGATGCTTTCCCAAGTTATTTTCTTGGCTCAGGCTCAGGCCACTTTTATCTGACTTGTCTTGGCAGCAGCTCTTCCTCCTGTCCTTCATGGCTGTTCCCATCTTGTACAATTTCTGTCCTATTTTCTACTATTATTATGCTTTAGTTAAGTTCTGATTACCTCCATTCTTATCCCCCTATCTGTAGATCCTAAATATCCTTTCCTGACATTATTTTCTTTCCTTTAGACTTTCTTTCTACGCATCCTATTCTAGTTTGTCAATTCTCTCTTAGTACTACTGATATCAGTCCCATCAACCAGCTCTCCATGGATGAGATCTCTGCTGGTTGGGGCACTGCTTTTACTGTTTCCTATTATTAGCACTGGGACAGGGTTTTCAAGACCTTGTGAGGCTTCGGTTTCAGTCTATGTAAGCCACTAATTCATCTCTGTGTCTCTCAGCCCTTTCCTTTCCTTCCAGGTTTCTTTCATTCCCAGGAATCCACCTCAACTCCCTTCTGGCTGCTCTGACATTCTTCCTTGCAAGTTTCCCTTTCCTTGGTGTTTGTATGCTCTGGGACGGTCCCTGCTCTTGGCTTTGCTGCCACACTTGGCCCTCCCTCCATAGGTGACCACCTGCTGCTTTCCCTAGCATCCCCAGCAAGTGCAATTCTTCAACTTGGTTAAGCCACTTGCCAGGTCCCAGACCTGATCTGATTGCCAGGCCTTTCAGGACTGCCTTCTTCCAGGATTGATGTCTGGCTACAGGCCTTTCCCAACAACACCAGTACAAAATCCTGACCTTCTCCACTGGGCCCGGCTGTTCAACCTGAATCTCAAGCCCACTGGATTCACCAGCACAACAGATCCTCCTGACAACTTGGATCATATTCTTTCCTAAGGACTACTTCCTCCATCTTCAGGTGCCTAGTTTGCTTGCTTTCTGCCTCCCTTCCCTCTCTGTAAGATAAGACAAAATATCCAACGATGCTAAGTGGACTTATACACGAGATCATGAAAAAAAAATACCTGAGAAGCTTCTTGTTCTTCATCACTGGACTCCTCAGATGAGCTCTCTGACTCTTTTTTTGCCTCTTGTTTCTGCTGGGTGGCTGCAAAAAGCAAATAGACATCAGAGTCCTTGAAAAACTAAAAACTGCTGTGACATGAAGAGTGTGGGAACTGGGAAGATCAAATCAAATTAAGATTTATGTTCGTTGTCCAGTTACACAGGGCGACTCTAAGATTTTTAGCTCTGCTTATTATAAAGGCTTCATGGAAGTTCACGAGATGGGAATTGCAGAAGTACCTTTATCTTATGCAATGAAAAGGTCCTTGCAGCAGTTCTGAAACTACTCCAGGCAATTCTCCAAACAAGTTACTTCCAGAATTCCTATTTCAATCACACCGTCATGTCTTTCACAAGAACAATTACAGTAACAAATGTCAACAACGGAGAACTGAAATGTTAGTCTGAACCAGACTTGTTGAGGCTGGTGATTTAAATGTTCAGATACATGAACTATTGTGGGACTCTATCTGAGGAATCAGTGGGCTTCTTCTGGGTGATGAATGGCAAGCTAAAATATTTGTGAGTGAGCAGAGATGACAACCACAGCTAAGAGCCAAGGATCGGCGAGGAGACCGGTCTCATGGAACTTCTCTGGATAAGGAGAGGATAGAAGATCGCCCACTTGTGCTCCAGGTGACTGCTCTTCACAAGGAAACCAAAAGACAGTGATTTCCCCTAAGTTTGAGGACTGGGAGACAAAGGGAACCGTCATGCTCCCAACTGCAGAGCCTTTTAAAGGACACTGATCAAGGTTCAAATAAGACATGTTTGCATAAATCTGGAATCCCTTTATGGACTTCTTGCTGACACTACGACTGAAATGTTAACGATTTATATATTTGTGTATGACTAAGGGATGGGATATGGGAAGAAGAGATACTTGCATATGATAACGGGATATATTAAGTTTGTACTTGTGATGAAGCTACCCTTTTATATTCATTTTTTCCTTTTCCTTTCTTTTTACTGTACACTTTTTATTTTTCTTCTTCTTTCTCTTCTGAGTTTAGCTTGCATTTTCTTTTTCTATTGTTATTAAAACTTTCAAATATATGTGTATACACACACACACACACACACATATATATGATAAACTGTTATGCCCAAGTGTTTGCACCCAAAATATCCCAAGACTGGGGGAGGCTGAAGTGGAGGAACACTTCAAGAAAGGAAGAATTTCAGAAGCTCAGATATTTTTTTAAAAAAAACTAAAAGCAAGTGCAGAGGTGTGATTTTCACATAAATATGCCTCAAGTGGGCAACATTTTTTTATTTATTTTAGGAGCAAGCTGCATTGGGTGGGTAATGCCATCTTATGTGCATAACAAACTGTGCTTCCAAATATGGTATCTACTCTTCACTGGGCTTCCAAACTTCAAGTGTTTCTGAAGAGATTATCCTGCCACCCGCCCCTGGTGGACTGTAGCTTCTCTTACCAGGCTTCGCCTGAGGTTTGGCTGTTGTCGAAGCTTCTGCTTCTTCCTCACTGCTGTCTGAGGAACTGTCTGAGGAGCTCTCCTTATGTATAGTGATTCCAGAGGGCGTAGCAGTCAGAGCCTGTCCCTGGCTTGGTTTAACCTTTGGAGAGGGAATTTGTTCTTCCTTCCCTGTTGCTTTTGTGGCAGATCCCTGGGGTTTGGTGGAAGCAGCACTGGGTGTATTTAAGTTGGTCTGTACAAGCTTTCCTGAAGGACTGGCTGCTTTGCCAGCCACCAGCTTAAAAAAAGGGTGAATAGGAGGCTGTAGAGGGGAAAATAAACATAACCGGAAATGCATTTAAAAATTGTGTATGGCTAAGGGATAAAATGTGTATCTTCTAAGAAATAAC